AAAGTGACCTGAGATGACATGATGTGAATTGGAGCTATAGAAATAAACTGAATAGAATTAAGTGTGTCTCAGATGAAATGTGTTGTAGATTGGTCCTTTATAAATAAATTGAATTGTAAATGCTCTTTAGCACAGTGTTTCGCTGCAGTAAAACCAGAGGGCGGCCATCTTTGTGCACCTTAGGAAATACATCAAATAATCATGCATCTCTATCATTTCTAAGAAGGATTTCCTGCTACTGAAAGTCATCAACGTCACCCTCTAGCAAACAAAGTTACATTCAGACACAAAGACCCGGTAAACACATCAGGACCAAACACTGAGAACAGAACACAGAGGGTCCGGACAAGCCGACGACCGTCCAAATGTTACCGGATCAGAGAAACTCTCCAGTTTTTCAGTGGATTCATTAGAAACGGACCTGATCCTGTTTCTCAATGTCTGCTGGCCAATGAGTGGCTGAAGATCCACAGTTAGAGTTCACTTCAAAGCAGGTGTTTCAACAACGCAACGGTCACAGTGTGGCCGCGCGCCGTCAACACCAAATACTAACATGCAGAGAGTGGACACACAGAGGCTGAACGTCTGAAGGATCTAGATCTTTGTGACACAGAGAACGGAGTCTTAAATTGACCTGCTAGACTCTTCTGACGGAGTTGATGTTTCCATGGTTGTTCTCTTGCGCCCTGCAATGATTTCTTTACCTCACAGTGAGGAGGGATGTTAGAGTTCCCTTCCCGCTCAGGCGGAATCATCAGAACTCTAAGCAGAGAGACTTGTCTGATTCCGGCTAGCCACCAATGTAAAGCTTGTTAAAGAATGGCAGCAGGACACCATCTGGTCTCTGTAACGCCAGGCAAAACGCTGTACGGTACATTTAATCGTTGCACTCAGCTAAAGGCCAAACTGTAAGACGAAGCGGAAGGGTTTAAAAGTTCCGGCCCGACGCTGATGCGATCCAACAGCTCACACTGTTCGTCCAGAAACCACACATTGGACTCAACGACGAGAGGTGGCACTGTTCGGACTTTTCAATCTGGAATAAGAAGAACTCTTTTGTTAGCACATGCGTAGTGCACGAAGTTCCCGTAAATTAGCTCATACCTCTGCATCCGTCATGATCTTGGCGTTGATGACTGGCTTAATTACTAATTTCATTCACCTGACTAACTCTGCCTGGTTCCTCATCACTGCTCATCTGATCCACCTGCTCCTGCTTCCATTTAAGGCGCTTGCACCCAGTCATCAGGGCCAGACTATACTTGTTTTCACTAGTCAGTGGTTTTAGCATTACCTTAGAGTTTCTGATTACCTGATCCTGTTCTTCCACTAAACCACTGAACCCGCCTGTTCCTGTTCTGATCCGTTGGCCTGACCTGGCTTCGGACTCCTGCATGTTTTCCGGGGGCGGCAGTATCTGAACCACACTGGAACAAATCTTGTTCTTTGGGCGTTGAAGTGAACTTGTAAACCAGATTGACTAATGGTCATAATCTTCCTCAGTTAGATTTACGTGGTCACTAACCTGTGCTTCCTCTCTCCAGAGTTTCCTGCACTCAGACCTCCTGTTTGATTTTCCCCCAACTTTACGATTCCTGGTGGGGAGGTGGACGGGAGAGGCGACTCGCTACCCTCGAGAGTGGCCCCTCGCTACCCTCTGTATACTACACAACGCAGGATGCACTTTGAGGCTGAAACTCTGTGCAACTGGAGCATCTGAACTATAAGGGCAAATACCTCGTACAGTGAATGCCTGGCTTAAGAGAAAAGCATTATGGTGAAGCAAGTTTTTTTTTGGAATCATTTGGTGCCATAAATTACGCAGGAATAACTTGATCATCGATCCAGGAACAGCTGATGACTTTTAATTTATGCTTGACACGTCAACAAGGTCCGCCATGGGGCCAAGTTACAACCTTTTAGCATTAGCGCTAAAGCTAGGCTTGACCACAGCCTGAACCTTTCACACCGTTCTCCTAAACGAATTTGCAGCTATACAAACAGTTCCACCAGATAAACATGGCTGACAAGCATAGATGGATGCTTAGCTTTGCAAAAGCTAAACATCCATTGACATCTTATGATGTGTCAAATATTTATTTAGTGAGAGATTTGTAAATCCACAAACTCCCGAAATTGCATCTTGCTAGCAGCCAGCAGATTAGCATTAGCCTGGTATAGAGACATTTTTGGAACCAATGAAATGCAGTTACTTTAACGCGAACCGGCAGGCTGATGCTAAACAAACATGGATGTACCAGTAGACTATTCCGTCTACTTAAGCTGGAATACCCACTATTTCTTTTTGGCTGGAAAAGATGTTTGCGCGTTTCTACCAAACGGATACGGTAAGACTTTGATTTATCAGTTAACTTTGCTATTTGTGAAACAAATCAAGAATGTGATACTTGGCAGCTGCTACGACTGCTGGGATTGGCTAAAAGCTCAAAATGGGGGAGGGTACCACTTGTTCAAGGCACATCAGTTCAAAGAATTGTACTAAATGTCCCTTGAAGGTCCCAGATCTGCTCGGGTCCTGCTTCATGCCAGTGACGTTACGCTACATGATTGGCTGAACGTTGCCACATGATATAAAACATAAGTTTCCCAGACAACGATAATAACATCACACGGCGTCCGTGTGCCGAGTCGGGAGCATCTGTAGCATTAGCGTGTCTAAAGATTGATGCAGTTTTACCTGATCGATAACAAAACTGAAAGAAAAAAAATGTTTCTGGTGAACAAAGTAACTGTTAGACCATGATATAAAGAGCTGGGTAGCGCTGTGGCTAGCTGTGCTAAGTAGCTAACAGGTTAGCCTCTTTTAGCTTGGTCAGTTAGCCATTTTAAGCTACAGTACTTTGAACTACGCGTCAACAACAACCGTTCATTTTCTACAAGTAGAATAACTGTTTTGTCTAAAAACATAAAATAATAGCAAATATAGGGAATATGTTGAGACTCCAAAATTGATTTGATCCTTAACAGTTTGTCCGAGTGGAGTTGCCGTATGATGATGTCATAAGAAGGGGCGGGGCCCCGAGCAGATCTGGTACCTACACCAAGCAGAAGTAGAGTGATGTAGTGTGATGTAGTTAGCTTGCGCCCGGTTGCCCATACCGCCACCTACAGTTGACTAGAGTATCAGGTAAAGCAGGGAAAAGCCGCACAGAATATAAAATGTTGAAAATACAATGTCAGCATTTTTAATCCTGAGGTTCTGAGTTACCCATAATCCCTGATTGCTTCCCGGGCTCCGAACAATGGCTGCCCACTGCTCCCCAAAGGGATGGGTTAAATGCAGAGGTAGCGGCTTGCTAGCTGAAGTGCTAAGTCACCTTTCCTGCAAACAGGCAAGACCCTTTACGCTAATGCCTGCTTTGGGGAATGGCGGCCTAGTGGTTAGGGCATAGAGCTCGGTCTTTGAGCAAGACCCTTAACCGGGAGCCGCACAATGGCAGCCTACTGTTCCCCAAGGGGATGAGTTAAATCAAGAGAGTTCATTTCATTGCTTTGTACTTGTGACAGTGGAATGATCATAAAATGCTGAAAATAAAAAATTCTGAGCAGAGAGTAGACGTGTTAAGCATAAATCGGCCTCAGTGGCTCAGAAAGATTAAAGATCGGGAATATTAACGTTTAAACCAAAGAAATATCAGATTCCCTGTGATCAATTAAATCTTCAGCTTATTTGTTTAGAACTGATCTTGGATAAAGATTCTTCCTCTTGTTCCTTCGGCTCGCTAACTGATAGCCGTTAGCATTAAAACGTGTCTGCGTGGCCTCTGCTGTCCACTCACAACCGAAGCCAACAGGGCTGTGGTGCAGTCTCTGCATACTTCCTCTGACATCATTCAGAAATGATCAGGTTCAGTAGGAAGTATGCAGCGTGAGATATGAAACAGCCACATGTTTCTGGCTCGGGTCACAGGAGGGCGGTGCTTCCTCTTTCCTCCGTCGGGTTTCTCACCTGGGATGACAGAGATGGTTTTGAGCGCTCGCAGCACCCTGAACGTCCTTAAGGCTGAGACATTACCCAGGTCCACAAACTCAGTCACATATCTGCAACAAGGCGGGAGACAGAAGCACAAAAACAGACACACACAGAAGGATGTGACCACAAGGAGCCGAGACAGAAGGACAGTAAGAGAGATGGACATCCAGGTAGTGACAGGAAGAGCTGCAGAGAGACGGCTACAGCCCGGGCTCCTAAGCTGCTATGCAGAAGGTGAAATCAGATATGAAAGCTTCACACATGGAGAAGAGTTCCCCGCGGGCCAATAGGTTCACAGTTCCCACTGTTTCTATAGAAGTAGCGGCAGTACTCAGCTACTAGCGACTGGCTAACAGAATTAGCCTGAAATATGGAACTTTTTTTTGTTTATTCATATGTAGTTCACTATAATGTGGGACAATCTTACAAAAAAATATTTATCAATTCTGAGAGTTTTGGTTTTGAGCTTTGAAATTTCTCTCTGTTCAAAGGGAGTTTTTCCTCTCCACTGTCGCTACAAGCATGCTTAGTGTGAGGGATTGCTGAAGAGTCAATGAGTCGCTGCAATCAGCTGGTTTTCCTTAGATATAAAACTTTGAATCAACCTGATTGGATGATCTGGTTGAACTGTAACGTGCCCTAACGTGTGAGTTGGCGCTATAGAAATAGAAAAACAGAATTGAAAGTTAGCATGCTAGCACCAGAAATTATGTTAAGGACATGACTTCCTGTTTAAAACGAGGTTAGCTACAAAGGATTAAAAAGTGAAAGGCTTTGTCATTCATGTCTACTTTAAACTGAATAATGCTAATAAAATACTAAAGTTAGCCTAATGTTAAATTAGTTAGCCCAATGCAAGCTAACCACAAATTGGTATCATTACCGCTAAAGACTAAAATATACAGCCAACATTTATCTTTCTGTAATTGTTGGCATTTCATTTCTACTTAGTTTTAAAGGTTTTTTGCTAATCTTAGCGGATACGTAGCTTATCCGCCTGTTAGTTACTGTTGGCTAACAGTTAGCTAAAAGGGGAATTAGCCAAAAAAATAGTTAACATTTTAGGGAATTTTAATTATTCTACTTTAAATCTTAACTGGTAATTGGGAATAAATAAATGAAAGAGTTGGAAAAAGTGATGTAGGTCTATAAGAATGTAAAAGAAAACAAATCTGTTTGATAAATGGCGGTTAAAAAATCATCAGAGTAGAAAAAGAGCATCTGTTTTAACATTTAATCGTTGCAACGACAAACATTCCTCTTTTATCTAGTGATCATGGCATAGCCAAGTTTATCGTATATCTTTAATGTCTAAGCTGCAGTGAACTATTAGCTGACCAGCTAGCGGTGCGGAACTTTCTTGATTCTCCAGCTAATGACCGGCGCTCAGCTGAACCATATCGGATTTTCCCTTCTGTACTGTTCCTTTAAGACAGGTCAGGTGATTCCACCTGAGACCTCCGATAGGGTGGAGAGGTGGGCTGGTGCTGCGGGACACTGGCAGACACGGAACAGACAGCAGAAGACATTCACCACTAATTTGCTCTTCGGTGCTTTAAAGCTGCCCCCTGTCGCCCCCTGGTGGTGGTGAGGCCTTACCTGGGATGACTGAGATAGTTTTCAGGGCTCTCAGCACTCTAAACGTTCGCAGCGCCTGCAGGTTTCCTACTTTGATAAACTCTGTTAACATCCTGCAGGGGGCAGTGTGGTGGTTTTCAACAAACAACAAAAGAAGACAAAGATAAAAAAAAGTCTGAACATCTCTTTGATAATTTACATTTCTGTGAGTAAAAGTCCTCGGCCACGATTTAATCGGCTTCATCAGGATGATAACGGCCTCTTTAAACATGGCGGGGGGTCTACATTATGGAGGATAAAAAGTGCCAAAATTTAATAAATAAATACAGCATTAAATAAATAATTAAATGTGTCAATAATTAATTAAATGTGGAATTAAATAAATAAATGTGTCATTCATTAATATATTCACTAATATAAAGTTAATAATTAGTTAAATAGTTTAATTATTTCATGGTCCTGTGTCGCAGTGCATCGAAACCATTAAAAGAATCTGTCAAACTCACCCATCAAAGTTAGGGGGCGGGGTTAACGCGAATCGAGTCTCTGTAATCGATTTGCTCCGTCTTAATGTGCAGGGTGACCAATCAGGTGTTAGATAACCGCCCCCTAACTTTGATGGGTGAGTTTGACAGATTCTTTTAATGGTTTGGATGCTCTGCGACACAGGACCATGAAATAATTAAATGCACACTGAAATAATTATATATTTTTTTTTTTTTATAAAATGAAGACGTGTTTTATTAAATTAATGACACATTTATATATTTAATTCCTTATTTATTTAATGAATTACACATTTGATTCATTGTTTATCACTGTATTTATTTATTTAATTGTGGCACTTTATATTAGTGACGAGGTTTTAATTAATGAATGACACATTTATTTAATTATTGACACATTGAATTATTTATTTAATGCTGTATTTATTTATTTAATTTTGGCACTTTTTATCCTCCGTACTACATGAGCTGGTTTTGCATTCCAATAGCTTTAAGACTAAGATAATCACAGTTATAATGTGGTCGGTTAATGTAGTTTGTCTTATTTCATACATTAATTTATGCTGAAATACCTTCTCCTCATTACAAAACAGATTTTTCTCAAGGTTTATTTATAACATCCTATTGTCTAACCAATTTGTTTTGTAATTAAATTATAATTTTCATTTGTTTTGACTCTAATTCCCATCATTGTCAGTAAGGGGGAACAAACGCTGCCCAAATCAGAACAGGACTGATTACCGTCCAATAACTGTTCTCGCTATGCAAAGATAAAATAAAGCGCCGACTGAGTGAAATCCATCCATTTCCATTTATTTTACTGGAGCAAATGGTTGAATACTTTTTTCCCCACTAGAAGGATTAACATGATCCTGAAATAGGCGTTGGTAACAAACTTTTACTAATAAAGGTTATAACTCCTTGGCCAACGACATGGCTCACTAGTTGGGGATTATGGAACAAAAACCTGACATTAGAGAATTAACACCACTTGTAAGAATTATCTGTAATTCTGGGTAAATCACTCTAGAAAATAGAAGTTATTAGTGATTCTATTCTGATCACGATAGATTCATCATTTACAATAAAAATAATTATCTAAAAATACTTTCTTGCAGCATTTTTTTAAAGGTAAATCAATGGCAGTAACTGCAAAATGTAGTAAACTCAGCCAATCAATTACAATTACTCTAGAGAAACAAAACCATTTTATATAATCTTCTTCAGTCAGTTTCATAAAGAAACTTAGGAAAATTCAGCCATTTTTAAATTTTCAAACATTATTAATATAAATTCGTAGCTGTGAGGATGAATCCAAATTCCTATCATGACAAGAACTTAACGATAAAGGATGAGATAAAGTCCAAAGCTTTAAAAAACTAAGTCCAGATGAATCAGAGATTAATCAGCATCGAATTAAAAACTAAAATCCAACATCAGGAGCTTCGGTGGGATTTTAGGGCCGTTCTATGGAGTCACAAAGATGTCAAAATGTTTGGAAACTAATTAAGTCTTAATTGAAACTGAAAAAATAAAAGTTTCATTTCTTTTCTCTATTGCAGTTTACGATTTTATATATTCAGATTCCAATCCCTCTCTTTCCGTTTATTATTTTTTTCAAATTCTTTTTTCAGTTTGAGGATTTTTTTTTTTTTTTTACGCTTTCAAAAAATTTTTTTTCACATTCAGATTTGGAGCCTAATCTGAGGGCGGGGGAATTAGATTGACAGCTTGCAGCAGCGCTGGAGAGATGCCCCTTCCATGTTGCATTCATGGACTGTGGGTATCCAACTACATGAGAAAGTAATGGGAGTTCCCACAGTCCATGAATGCAACATGGAAAGGGAAATTTGATCACTGCTGCACTTTCTTGCTGTAAGAAAATTAAATTTCATTTTTTTATACACTATGTGTTTACAAAATTGCCTAATGTCTAAGTCTCCAGTGCTGTCAATCACGTTATCTAAAGGTAAAAAAAACTGATTTGAAAGTGTAAAAAAAAAAAAAAAAATCCTGAAACTGGAAAAGCAATTTGAAACAAAAAGAAAAGAAGAAAAAGTGTAATTAAAAGACTAAACTGAATTTAGATTAAATTCTTATTAAGTTTGCTCACATTATAAAGTAAAAATTTGACATTAAATATCAACTTTTTTCAGTTTCAATTCAGATTTAGAAGTTTTCAAACATTTTGACCCGTTTCTGACTCCATACCAGCTGCTGATAATAACAGCTAAGTTTCACATTAAATAGCAAACATGGGGAAAAAATAAAAGATTAACAGGAACAAAATAAATACATCATCAGCTTTACGCGTAATAATCTTGCTAAAATTACTACATTTTCCGCATTATAAACGGGAAGAAAGAAAAAATACGTAATCAGTTAGCAAAACTCATAAAAAGCAACCAAATGATTTAAAATGCTAATATTTAGACGGTCGGTTTTATATCCTTCAAAATTAATACCATAAAACACAGATTTATACTTTACTTTGTTTTATAATTTCAGAGTAAGACCTTGTCTTGGATTTAAAGTTATATTTTAGAGACTTTGTCTTGAAACATCCAGTAAAGTTTTAACCTTAATGCCAGGTTTATATTTAAGCCTGCTCAACTATTTTAACAGCTTAAAAATTTAGCCTTAAATCTGAACTAAGAGTTAATAAGTTTTAGAAATAAAAAACGAAACAAATGTTTGAATGTAACCATGTATACTGTTAAATTAAACAAAGCATTATTTATAAAAATAAGGTTGTTTGAATAAAATAAAAGATATTTGATGGTGGCTTTTAGCATGTTGTGACGTTTTTGATGCTAAGTGATTTTATCAAAAGGCTTTTGTTGTTTTATTTATCTGCGTTTATAAAGCCACAAAGAGCCGACTGGGATTCATCCTGTTTATTCTTCCACTGCTTTGTCTCCATCTTTGCAATAAGATGATAAAGTTCAAACAGTGAGCGTTTCTGTCCCAGCTGGCTGAATCAGGCGATGACATCATGAGGCCGGGCGGCGAGCCTTTGATCGAACCAAACCAGGCGCCAGGCCGCGGTGGCCCTAAAGCCGGTCATTTGATCCCCGAGCTGCTAATGGTTCTCCATCATGGCTCGTATTTCAGCAGGTTGGACCGCGGCGCTGATTTCATTACGGCGCAGGGAAACGATGGCGGGCAGAGCTGTTTACAGGAACCTGCAGGTCAAACCGGCAACATCAGGACCCTTTAGTGACGGGGGGCCGATTCCACAGCAGCAGGTACGCCCGGCTGGATGTTTGGAGGCCAGGAAGTTTACGATTTAAAGACGAGAAACGGGAAATGAAAGCGTGAAACTTCTGAGTCGGAGCTGATGATGGAAAACTGAGGTCCAGTTGGGGTTATGACCTGGTTACCATGGCGACCCAGAGCCAGTGGGAGTGATGGGCAGCATCAATCAGGCTGTGGGCCTGTTTCCCAACTATTAGTCTAGTTTTAACCCCTTAAGCCCAGCGGGTCCGGTTCAGGGCCCAGCTGACAGTCACATGGTGTTTCATCCACACGCCATGAGGGAACCCCTCCAGATCCGGCATCCATTCTTTCCTTCTGTTCGTCTGTCTTCTCGGCTCAGTGACCGGGTCGAGCCGTCAGCCAATCAGAGAGCAGAACCGTCACCGGGGAGGAGGGGAGCCTGTGAGGTCTGCAGCCTGACGCCGCTTCGCTCCATGATCCAAACCGACTCAGACGTGGAGTTCTGCAGTTTGTCCTGACTTTGCAGAAGCTTTGAAAACTGACCGACGGCGTGAAACTTGTGGGCTTACGGAGCGGCGAGAGGCGAAGCTGCAGAGCAGCTTTTCCCTTTAATTCCTCCACATTAATCCCATCAGGAGGACAACAGCTTCACGTCACGTCGGAGCGCCGCTCTGCTGCTCTCAGCTCCTCAGACCAGCAGCTTTCAGCTCCGCTCACAATAAAAGCGCAGCAGAAATCTTTTCCTGCTGCGCTCACCGGGGTTTTCTTTACTCACTGACATATGCACTGCAAAAATTATCTTCAAAAGAGTTTAAAAACATTCTGAAAATAACTGTATTTACCCTTAATTTGACAGGATTAATAAAATGATCTGTCAATGCAAGGAGAATGTTTAGCTTTAAAATAAGATAATTAGATATTATGCTGGTAAAATAAACAGACTGCTGATGTTTATTTTCTTATTTCTTATTCTAAATTGTTTTATTCTATTGGCAAATCACTTCACTCCTCGATTCAAGAAAGAAATTATTCAATTAGATTTCATTTTTTTAATTTCCACTTTTTACACTTTTTGTGTAAAACAAAGTAGAAGTATTTATTTTAAATATTAGAGCGGGGAAACATATTCAGCTGTTTTTTTTCTACAATGGAGGAAAAATATTTTCATTATGTTCATTTAAATGTCTTCACTGCAAAAATGTAAATCTAAATAAGTAATTTATTTCTAGTGCGACACTTTATAAATTGAACAAGACAATGTAGATTTAAAATAAGGTAAAAATAATTTAATTTTCTTAATGAAAGTGCATTTAAAATACTCGTTCCATTTGCAAATCATGTTATTTATCTGTTCAAATTAAGGCTAAATACACTTAATTTAAGAAAATGTGACTTATTTATAGATTGTTTTTGCTCTAAATAATAAAATGAATATATCTCATAAATAGATATTTTATTTCTGATTATATTTTTTTGTAATGAAAAGCTGATTTTCATGATCTTGTTGCTGATGACAGGCTAAATAAATTCACCTGTCCATTCCGCCTGGTTTCTCATCACTGCTCACCTGCTCCACCTGCTCCTGCCTCTATTTAAGCTGCTCGCTCCCAGTCATCAGTGGCAGATTATTCTCTCTAACCAGTGCGGAGAGCGGGCCTTAGTGATTTCCTGGTCTGCCTCTCAGCCACTGATCCTGCCTGTTCCGGTTCTGATCCGTTTGCCCGACCCGTCTTCAGACTCCTGCTTGCAGCTGCAGCATCTGGGAGACTCTGGGCGCCATCACATCTTGTTGGCGGCCCACCGACTGGATCCTACCCTTTCCTCTGGGCTCAGACTGAGCCGTTAAACCAGGTTAGTGACTCACACGTTCATAATCACCGTCAGATCATGGCGGTCACTAACCTGTGTTTCCTTTTCGCAGTGTTTCCAGCGTCGGATGCCCTAGCCGCTGCTGCTGCAGGTCTGCAGTCCGTCCGTTTTATAATAAACAGTTTTTAAAGTAATCTAACTGTCTGTCTTTCCTGAATACTGAGTCCTTCTGCTCTGGTCTGCTTGACTTTTAGATGTTGACAGATTTTATTTTGGTCTCAGATCCACAGATCAGAACCACTGCGTGAAAATAATGAACTAAAATGAGAAATAAAATGATTTTTATCTAATTATAAATTAGAAGATTTGAGAGCAAATATTTGAATTTATATTAATAAAAATTAATGTTAGAGTTTGTTTTTTAATAGATCCTCGAATTTTTTCGCATTTATTAAAACCCTGATAGAGCAAACTGGAGTTAATGTGACAGACGGAAACATGGAGGAGCAGCACTGAGGTTCTGCAGAACCTCCTCCGGCTGCAGATCCGATCGTCTTCTTCTCTAGATCTCTCAGCCGAATGTTTGTTTTCCTCGATGCGGTTCTTCCTTTATCGACCGCGCTCCGTCATCCGGTCAGATCTGGACCTGTGCAGCTCCTCCAGAGTCACCCTCAGCCTATCCAGGTGGACCTCCATGGGTCTGCAGGTGGTCCATCCTCTCTCCATGTTCACATGACGTCCAAAGACGGGTTTTAGTAGCAGAACCTTTCTGGATTTGTGTTTGTGAAATCACAAATCACTGTGATGTCATCCCTGAGTTCTAACTATTACTTATATTGGTCCAAATATTACAGTAAATAAACCAATAAATTACAAAATGCACCATTAAATGATTTAAAACTACATTTAAAATGATAAATAACTGTAATTTAAACCAATAAATGTTTTTAAAAGTGAAAACATCGGTCAGATTACTGAGGATTTAATGAAAGGTATCAGAGTAAAGGGGCGGGAATACTTTGTCACACTGTGACTGCGGGTTCCTCTCTGTCCGTCTGTCACTTTAAATCCAAACGAAGCAGGTTTCAGTTTTAGTCTGGAAACGTTTCAGGGGTGTGAAGTCCTGTAAACCTTCAGACAGCTCATCTCTAAGCCCTGCCTAAACCTGGGTGAGGTGCAGCTGATCCTAATGTTCTGGTCGATCCGAGTCAAACCCAACCGGACGTGGAGAGAGAGAGAAAACCGTAGGTGAGGTTTGAGTGACTCACGCCATGACGATGACGCTGAAGTCCAGCCAGTTCCAGGGGTCCCTCAGGAAGGTGAAGGGGCCCATGCAGAACCCTCTGGCCAGGATCTTAATGAGCGACTCGAAGGTGTAGATACCTGTGAAGGTGTACCTGAGCGGGAGAGCAGAGCGGATAAATTAAACATTAACGAACGCTTCTGACAAACATCTTTCACTTATTCATTTTGTCACCAGGAACGAACAAACCGAAGGATCCAGAGTTGGAGCCGCTTCCCGCCTGAAGGCAGCGGATTGTTTCGTTTCCTGTCAGACGTCGAATCTGAGGCTCGTTTATAAAGTAAAGGTTTTATTTACAGATTGATCAAATAAACCTGCTTTAATTTTAGGATTTAACCCCTGAAGCCCGGCGGGTCCGGTCCAGGGCCCAGCTGACACCGGCTCATGTTTATCTATTTATAAAAAATGGCCAAAACAGTCACATGGTGTTTCATCCACACGCCTTTCAAACGGGGCTTTAAAATTTCTAAGTTTAAAATAATATTTTTTTTGTTTTGTTTAATAGCTATGTCAAATAATAACATTAGATTTAAATTTTCACCTGACAGGTGTGATTCCACTGCAGTAATGCAACAGCAGGTATTCATTTTTAGCCCCGCCCCCAAATGGACAGAAAGCTGAGGTCCAGTTGGGGTTATGACCTGGTTACCATGGCGACCCAGAGCCAGTGGGAGTGATGGGCAGCATCAATCAGACTATAGGCCTGTTCCCAACTATTAGTCTGGTTTTTAGTCGGCCCGGTTCAGGGCCCAGCTGACGGTCACATGGTGTTTCATCCTCCTTTCAAACGGGGTTCTTAAATTTCTAAGACAATTATTTTTTCCACAAATACTTTTTGTTTTATAGCTTTGTAAACAAATGAGATTTAAATTTGCACCTGACATGTGTGACTCTGCGGGATTAATGCAGCAGCAGGTGTTAATATTTAGCCCCGCCCCCTAATGGCCACCGTCATTGGAAACTAGAGACTCAGACCTTTCCAAGGAGGGGTCAGAGGTCATTGTTTGACCATTTCAGGTGATGTAACCAGCATGCTTTACATAAGCTGCTCTGTTATTCTTTATTTTCTATTTAATTTGGTGATTTTATTGGTAAATTTAAGCTAAATCTGAGGATCAAAGGCTTTGCCTCATGCAGAAAGTCTCCAATCATGGAAATCAGCATATTTTTCTGATTAGATTCCCTTTGATGAGTGAAAAAAATGCACTTTTTGCACATTTGGCATTGTGCAAAAAGTGCATTTTCTAGCACTCTTCCCACTAAAACCTTTGAGGAACAAACATGCTTGAACTTATTGAGTTTAAATTTGCTTGAGTTACATTCAAGATGTGGATCTATAAAGTCTGAGGAATCATCCAGAGTTTTAAATGGGCTTCCATGGTGTTCTGCAGTGTTTAATTTAGAAAAGAAAGGAGGAAAGGCTAAATATTTTTCATTTTTTCTTTGTTTAATCGCCTATAAATCAGACATGGTTACATTTAAAATAGTGGCTCCACCTGAAAACTATCCCTCGATGCCTTTCTGTCATATAAATATAAACTATTGCTTTAATTCACATATGTTAGGTTATCACACCGGATCATAAAGACCTGAGGATCCGAGTCTTTCTGGGTGTAAAAGGGTCAGCAGCTGTTAAACACTTCCACTGATACTTCCTGCATGCAGGGACGGTGGCCTGGAAGGCACAGGGAGTCAGACTTGATGGGTTCAGACGTGTGAAATGAGGAGTTTCATCCAAAAAGGTCTGTTTGGTTTTGACATTTGAAGCTTGACATTTCTGTTGCACACGATTCACCTCTGAGCCGCCTTGGAGTGCCGGGCGGCTCAGATCGGCCGAGTCACGCTGAGCGGAGCTCCGACATCGGCTCTGATTAAAGCGTGTGTGTTTGCAGGAATGTTCCCGGGTCGTACTTACTCCAGGTACTTGGCCCAGTTTGCTGGTTCCGACATGGCCATGAAGCAGCAGTTGGTCAGGATGGTGCACATGATGAACAGGCTGAACAAAGTGAGGAGGTTAAGGAAGGACAGCTTCACACAGACTGATCTCATAACGCAGAGACGGACACTCACTGATTTCACTTCAGTTGCAAAAGAAACAGTCACACAATTTGGAGGTGTGTGCGCTCCTTTACAGCTTGGAGCCACAAAAACAGTTTTTATTTCCTTTTGATGAAGTGCAGGGCAGCAACTACTACATTCTCTCACTCGACAAATAAAACTTTATCAACGTATAATAAATAAAAAAATACTAATGAAAATTACAATTTAGTCATTTCTTTTGGATCCTGCAATTCCCTTCTCCGCCCTGCGGGGGCAGCGTTAACGCTGCTTATAAATGATGCGTTGAAGAGCTTTAAAGGAAAAGTCCAGTCAGCAAGGAATAATCAATGGATCATTATTTATACCTAAAACTAATACATTCACGGGGATGAAATGAATTTAGCGCCATCACTGAGTCTGGGAGCGGCCATTTTTGCCCAAATCTAGTAGCCCCTCCCTCCTGCCATCTTCCAGCAGTGACGTCACGGTGCGGTAAGCCTAGCGCCATTCTCCCCGCTTTCCAAGCTAAATCAATGGGAACTACTAGACATATCTGCAATCAACAACAATTTTTGAAGATTGCCTGAGGACTTC